GTCTAGTGACGGTGCAGCAGTCGCAGAAACCTCGAATGTTTGGGAAGAATATCTGGATTGAGGTCTGGTGAGGAAAAGGGTCACTCCAGCGCAACATACTCATGCTCTCCAAGCCATTCCATGTCATTTTTCCTGCCTAGGCTTGGAATGGATTGGAGAGCATGGATATGTAGCACTGGAGTGACCCTCTTCCTTACCAGACCTCAACCCTGATATTCTTCCCAAATAGTTGAGGCTTCTTCAACTGATGCACTGTCACTAGACCCGCGGATTTTAACATGATTCTAACAATGAAAGGATGCTCAATCGACCGTGCTATGTTACCCTAAGTTTCGTGGTGGGAATGCTAGATTTTGCCACTCTATTCGTGATTTTACCCTAGAACGATACGACGAAAACGACCCATGATAAGCTAGGACCATTTAAGTAATGGCATCTTTGGACACCCCTTGGCTTGGCTAGTCTCAGAGATTACATTCAATCCGAATTCGTGCACAATACTTATGCATACGCTCAAATACTTCGCAATTTTCCTTGTGCTCACCCCCTTATGCAAAATGATGGGTCCAGGAAGAGTGCAAGAAGCTTCATGCCAAGGTCTGCACTAACCTCGTAGATAACATGCCTAAGAGGGTGCAGGTGGTGATCAACGCCAAAAGTAGGTGGACTAGTTACTAGAAACGCTGTTCGGAAGTTTGCTCTTTGTCCAGGGAAAAAACTGTCCGGAACGCATCCACTTTGTGCCTCTCCCAACGTGTACCACCGTGCATCTTGCAGGTTTACCATACAGTAGTCTCAAAGCCTAAAAACCCAACTTAGTGCCAAACATCCGGATGGTTTTTTCTCTTAGTGTATACTTCCACAGTACATCAGGTAACCAGGTTTATCCTATCCAAGGGAATAGACCCTTCTAGAAAATAGAATCACCCTGCGTATAGCCACGCGAGGCTATTGGCTTTAAGGGATTACGTCGGGATTACGCTAGATATAGCGCGCCAGTACATCCCGAGCCTGGTCGGTAGTATAATTAAAATAGCAGGATAAACCAGAGGATAGTGGAAAAATGGAGAATAGGAAACCAAATGAGATGAGATAAAAAGAGAAATGAAATAGAAAGGACATAAGGAAAGGACAAGTGGTGTAACGGGTTCGTACTCTCACATTGAAGATCACCCTGTGCTAGTTAAAGGCAAGGTGAATGGCAAAAAAATCAAGCTATTTATGGATGGAGGGGCTAGCCACAGCCTAGTTCACGTGACAACAGCGAAGCAGTTGAAGCTGCCATTGGAGAAGTGCTTACCCAAAATTGACGCGCGATTGGTGGACGGGAGTCCACGTGCGATCCGGGAACGAGCGCGCATGGTGCGGATGGAGTGTGGTGACGATTTAGCATGCTCATGGATTTAGCATGCTCATGCTGGCGACGACGCTGGACGGCTGCGATATTCTTCTCGGGCGTGATTGGCTGCGAAAATACAACCCGAGGATCGACTGGACAACTGGCGAATGCAGCGTGCTGGCCGTGGGCGGGATCCGGTATCGACACGTGTCAACGCTTTTACCCTCCAGTGAGCAGTAAAACGAGAGCTGATTTGTACGCCGTCCATCTGAAGGAAGCAACGGTCAGTGACACGACCAAAGACATTGACATACTTCGTGCCAATGTCCCTGCCGAGCTCGCTGCGGTGATTCGACAGTACCGGGATATTTTTCCGGATGACCTGCTAGCCGAATTGCCACCTGAACGCCCCCAGGACCACAAAATCTACCTGGAACCCGGCGCGCAGCCAATCGTCAAGACACAGTGGCGGCTGACTCAGCCTAAAATCACGAAGTTGTGGAGCCAACTGGATTACCTACTGGAGAAGGGGTTCATTCGAGCCAGCACGTCCCCGTTCGCAACGCCCATTTTCACGCCCAAAAAGGACGGAGGCCTATGAATGTGCATTGAATACCAGACGCTGAATCGACGAACCATCAAATCTCGCTACCCAATCCCATGCTCGGACGATCTCCTCAACCGACTTCCCAGGGCTCGCTTCTTCTCCAAGATTGACCTGCCAGGGGGTTACCATCAGATTCGAGTCTTCGCTGACGACTGTCACAAGATGGCGTTCCGAACCTGCTATGGCAGCTACGAGTACACAGTGATGCCGTTCGGCCTCACGAATGCGCCCTCAACATTCCAGCTCACCATGAATGGTGTGTTCCAAGATCTACTCGACAAGTGTGTCATCCTCTATCTCGATGACATCCTGATCTTCAGCAAGACACGGGAACAGCACCTCAAGAACCTCGACCAGGTTTTTCAACGGCTGCAGCAGAATTGCCAAATCACCCAGGGCTCCAAGGGCTCTCAGTCTAGCGATACTACGGCAGTCCCTATCTTTTAAGGCTGTGCTCTCTCCGAGTGCACTTACTCTAACGTTTCTACTGCTGTTGCTGAGACGACCCTTGCTGCTGAGACTACTGCGGCGGCCTCGGCGCAAGCTCGTCAGAATAGGGGACGTCGGGCCCGAGGGGGGGGGGGCGTGGCGGCGAGAGGGGTGGTGGGGGTGACGGAGGTGGCAGAGATGGCGGCGGTGGTGGAGGGGATGGTGGTGTAGACAAGGGGACCGGAACTGATGCCTCGGTGCAGCAGCAGCAGTCGCAGCAACAGCAGCAGCCACCGTGAGACCCCCGGCGTCATGGTGGCCCAGCAGCACTGCTAGTGGTGGTCGTGGTGGTGGGCCGCGCAGCTCGGTGTCGGGTGGCGGCTCCAGTGTGTTCACCTGTCAGTACCAGCTTCAGTCCGGCCCCCTATTTCTTTCGCAACCACACTGCCCTCACGCTACTTGCCGCCCCTGCCGCTGTAGCGCTTGCTAACCCCTCCTTAGGTCCGGTAGTTGCACGTAGCTCCACTATCCTTCCCTGTCCGGCGGTTCCCTAGGGCTCTCTTACGGGCTTGTACATCCGCGAAACTACGGTTATTGATCGTCTGGAGCGCGCATCCCTCCGCCTGGTCACTAACAATGCGTCTGGCGCGGCGGAGGAAGAGTATCGCAATCACGTCCGCGGGGCCACTACGGTTATGACCAGATATCCAGGCGCAGGCAAGTGGATTACCTTTGCCGCGCAGCCCGCTACTTATAGCGGGCACTATGCGGTTAATAATGCAGTGCGGATTTGGCGCGATGAACTTTCATGGCAGTGCGGTTCTGCGTGGTGCGATGGTGCGCTGAGAGGGGCTTACAAAATGCTGTCTTAGAGCATGTATATGGAGGCGCGAGAAGCCTTGTGCTCTGCCTATGACCTTAGCGACGATGGGGTTGTGCTGTGTTGGACAAAGTTGGGCAGTGTTGGTCAACGTAAGCATGGTTTTCGGTCGGTGTCTTTTGTCAAGTCTAGTCTAGTGTCGAGTGTTGTCTTTGTCGAATCAATTCTGTTTATTGTTGTATTGCAGTCCATGTTTGTCACATGCGGAATCAATTCTGACAGTCTCTTGAAACGCGGAGTTGAAACACAGGTGGACAGGCTTGCGACTTGGTGATGTTTACTCAGTCGCTGCGTACGCCAGTCAAGACGCCCATGCACAGTACACAAGAAACAACGCTCCATTTCCTGGGGAAACCCCGTAGTCCATGTTGCCCCTAGCATACGGCCAGTATTCGTTAAAAGGGAAATCTGCCGCATCGCCCTCCCCTCCCCCCCCCCCTGGGTGCTGAGGGAATATGACTTGTAGTTGGCTGTATTCAGGACTAGTGGGAATGCCCGGCAGTGTGAGGCAACAGGGAGCAAACAAGTACACCTATTCCCCTTTATTATCCCACCCGGAACAGTCCAATTTTCAATCCCACCTACCTTGTTCTCAGCATGACTCTCTACTCTCGTTAACACTAAACCTGATTGGCTGCAGTCTGAACGATACCAAACAAGAACGTTTTTGTTCTTGCAATTTCGAGTTTCTATGTTGGGACGTCGCGCAAGGAACTAATATAGTGCATGAGGGAGATTTTGTAACGATGTGTCAGTGCTTACTGTGGGTTTTCCCCTTCAAGGTCCCGTTTGCTGTGTTTTACCATTTCCTGCTTACAGGCTGAAGCTGCGTGCAAAAAACGTTGGACTAAATAGAAGGAAAATTGTACAAAAGTTTGAAACCGGGTCCGGAACTTGTCTGATTGGAAAAGCCTACCCCAATCTGACTGGGAAATGCAAGCTTCAGGCAAAAGCTTGAAAACCAACTCATCACAATTCCCTCGCACCACCTGTGGTCATCGACCCACACCGTTGCGAAGTTCAGAACAAGCCCCGTGGGCATGGGGGGGGCGACTGAACATGGATGGTTCTGGTAGCGAGAGACAACGCAACATGTACAGAATGCCTAACCTCGGATGCTGTCCAACTTCCGAACGCAAGACATGATTCCTGAGTGGGCAGGGCAATGGGCAGGGCACTGGGAACAGCACAGCAGAACGTGCGGGCGAGACACGCCACAGCGCGACAACGTCGGTGGGTCTTGGTTTTTATTCCGGGTAGGCGAATCACAGGCAAGTAAGGCCCAGAAGCGAGACCAAACATCTCCCAAATCTGTCCCAAGAAAATGTCGATGCCAACCGACTACCCTCAGGGACGCTCGCCTGGTTTGATGTACAGCGTAGGGTGTTTTACATATGTATGACGGTTTGCCCTTAATTCCCTGAGCCTTTACTGGTGTGTTATGAGGTAGCCCGTAAACGGCTGTAAATCTCCTCACGGTCCTCATATTCCCCTCGCCTTTGTACCGTGTGCTGTAAAATTTCACTAAGTCATTGGGTGGAGCACATACAGAAATATCGAGATGGCGAGTTAGAACACGAGGGAACCGAAACAGCTACACCGAATTTAGACATTGAGTGTAGGCGGAGAGACCAACTCAAGTTGTTCTTTCATTCTGGCATCTGGTGGAGCAACAAGCAAGCTTGCTCTCTTGAAAACTTTTCAGTACAAGAGCGTACATCCCCTATTTGCTTGCTGCCAGTCTAAGAAGAAAGCTTTGGCCCCTATTCTCTTCCTTCAAAGCCGGCACTGTCTCTAATCGTGTGGCTGCCGCAGCGTTCTGGTGCAACGCCGCGGCTCGCTGCGCGCCGGCTTCTGGAGGTTGTAGGGCCAATCAGCGTCGAGCCAAGCTTTCACTCGCGACAGTTTCTTAGTCTGGTTACGCTCCTCACGGCCCCTTAGGAAGGTTCCCGCGAGCTGTTGAATAGTATCTCCGCGATTCGGTGCCCGTCGCACGTGCTAACGGCTCGCCGCGCCTTCCTTCCGCCTTCCCTCCGCCTCGCTTTCACGCTCCTTCCCCCTTTCCTCCCCCATACCTTCTCTCAAGCCGCGTTCTTTACGCACTTCTCGCCGCGTTACGTACCCGCGTTTCCCCACCCCCGTTCCCCCACCTCATCTGCTCTTTCCCCATCCGCTCTTCCCCCATCCGCTCTTCCCCCATCCGCTCTTCCCCCATCCGCTCCTCCCCCATCCGCTCTTCCCCCATCCGCTCGTCCGCAATTCCTCCATCGCTATCCAGTCATCATGGTGCTCCGCCACCCGCGACGCGTCCCCGCGCTTCCCCCCGCGCTCTCCCCTCTCCTCATCCACCTCCTCCTCCTCCACCGCATCTCCCGCGCCCTTGCCTCCGCCGAGCCGTCCGCGAGCCCCCCCCAAGCCACGGAGGACGCCGCTTCGCCAATCTTCATAAAGGCCCTTCCGTCGCTGCTTCGCCTCGCGAAACCCCTTGCGAATTCCGTCGTCGAAACGGCTACTACTCCTACCAGTGCTAGTAGCGCCGCTGCGGCCGTGCCTTCCACCGCTGCGCCGAGTAGAACGCTCCAAGCGGGCAGCATCCACGCTTCGTTCGGCCTCCCGCGGAGAGCTGCCTTCGGCGCGCGTGTTGCGGCTTCCGCCACCCCCGCGGAACCCGCCTCCGCAGAATCCGCCTCCGCGGCTACTGCTGGTAGTAGCTCCATAAAGCCGCAGTGGCGCAAGGGGCCGATTCAATACTTAGGCGGCCCCGTGGTCACGGGTTCGACGCTCGACGTGTACTTAATCTACTACGGCTCGTGGCCCGCGGGCAGCGGGCAGCGCGTGTTTGAAAACTTTGTTCGGTCGCTGAGTAAAAGCACGCGGCAGGGCGGCGGCGGCGGCGGAGTGGCGAGCGTAAAGAGCTGGTGGGAGATTTCCGCGGGATATTACATGGCGGCGGACGGGAGCAGTCGATACGTGAGCTCCGAGGTGCGAAATGCGGGGTGTGGGGGATGGGAGAGGGTGGAGCAGGGTGGAGAGGGTTAGAGAGGGCTAGAGGGAAATTTTGAAACCTGGGTGGGGGGTTTCCCCGGGGTATTACATGGCGGCGGACGGGAGCAGTTGATACGTGAGCTCCGAGGTGCAACCCGCCGGGGGGTGGTGGGGTAGTGGAAGGGGGTGGAGAGAGGTGGAGAGGGGTGGAGGAAGGTGGAGAGGGCTGGGGGGGGGGGGATTGCGGGGTATTCCCCTATCTCCGCCGTTGGTAATTGGTGCGGTGTAGCCCCCTTCACCAGCGTCCCAAAAATGCGGTGTAGCCCCCCCCCCTACAATTGTAGCTAATAGTTATAGTTGTTCGGATAGCAAAGCTACTCCGTGGCTGACGTGCCCACTCTGTACTGTACCCACTCCGTATTTCTGGTCCACGAATTTTGTGACCTGAGGTGCGGTGTAGCTGCCTCCACCAGGAGCGCCTAGCCGGTGTGGCCTATGACACCTGCTCGCAGCGACAGGGTCACATCCTCACACGCCTCTCCTCTTTCCCCCCCCTTTCCTTTCCTCCCCTCCTCTCCCCCCTCTCCTTTCCTCCCCTCCTCTCCCCCCTCTTCTTCCCCCTCCTCTCCCCCCTCCTCTCCCCCCTCCTCTCCCCCTCCTCTCCCCCCTCCTCTCCCCCCTCCTCTCCCCCCTCCTCTCCCCCCTCCTCTCCTCCCCCTCTCCCCTACTCTCCCCCCTCCTCTCCCCCCACCTGCCCCCACCTGCCCCCACCTGCCTCCACCTATCCCCAGGTGCGGCTAGCCGGTGTGGCGTATGACGCCTACTCGCAGGGGAGCACGGGACTGTCAGAGAGCTTTGTCTCCGCATGTGAGTTCCACGGGTGGTACAGGTGGTGTGGCACGGGTGGTACGGCACGGGTGGTACAGCACGGGTGGTACGGCACAGTGGTACGGCACGGGTGGTATGCCACGTGTGGCATGTGATGCATGTAGCACCAAGCCCTGCCTACCCCACTCCCATCCCCCCCCTTTCCCTGCCCAACCGTCCGCCACCTGCTCACCACTGGCAACCTCCCCTTCAACAGCGAGGATGATCGGCAGCAGGGACATGCAAGCGAGCAGTACAAGATATGATTTACCCCCACCTCCCCCTCTCATCCCCCCCCGGTGCAGCCGTCCGCCACCTGCTGTCCACCGGCAAGCTCCCCTTCGGCAGCGAGGCGTTGTACATGATGGTCGGCACCAGAACGTGCACGTGGGGGAAGCTTCTGCTCCTGCTCTGACTGCTCTCAACCGAGCGGCCCTGGGCCTACTCTAGACGCACCCCTCCCCCCCTCTCCCATCTTTCCCCATCCCTCAACTCCCCCTCCTCCCCCCTGGCTCAGCCGTCCGCCACCTGCTGTCCACCGGCAAGCTGCCCTTCGACAGCGAGGCGGTGTACATGATGATCGGCAGCAAGGACGTGCAGGTGAACGGCTTCTGCACGGACTACTGCGGGTGGCACTCCCAGGGCAGCTATGGCGGCGCGAGACTCATCTTCGGTTTCCAGGGCCACCACGGCGCGTGCCCCAACGGGTGCATGACTCAGAGGTAAGGGGGAGGGGGGTGGGGGGGAGATGGAAGGGTGGGGGTTGGTGCATGGGGCATGTGGTTGTGTGGGGAATGGGGCGTGGGACCTGTGGCATGGGGCATGGTGCATAGGGGTGCATGGGGAGCAGGGGTGGATGTGCAGGTGAGCGGCTTCTGCTCGGACTACTGAAGGGTGCAGGGGTGGGTATCTCTCCCTCCCACTATCTCCCCTCGCTTCCCGTACCCCCTCCTGCTGTCTACCTGCAACGTGCCTTCCACTCACAGCACACCTTTCCTTCACTTGTCGTTCCACTACTGCCCTTCTCATCCCTATCCCTCCCCTTCGCTCCCTCCCTCCCTTCTTAGTCCAGCCAGCCCATGTCCAAATGGAAACTGTCCACTTCTATTCCCAATGAAAACCTTCCACTCGACTCAAAAGCCACCTACCGTCGATTCCCTACCCCTGCTTTTTCTCCCTCGCTCCTTCGACCAGCACGTCTCCCAATGGCAGCTGTCCACGTCTATTCCCAATGGAAACTCAAAGGTCACCTCCCGTCTATTCCCAACCCCTGCTCCTGTCTTCTCTCTCTCCCTCCCCCCCTCCTTCCACCAGCACGTCCCCCAATGGAATTCCCGGGGTAGACGCTACAGTCTCCACCCTAGCCCACGAGATTGCGGAGGCTGCCACCGACCCTGACCTCCGAACCGGGTGGCTAGCTCCGTCCGGGGACGAAAACGCCGACCTCTGCTCGTGGCAGTACGGAAACTCCAACCCTCTTTCTGGAAGAGCGGTTGTGAAATTTGCCACTGGAGCAAATGGGTTTCAGTACAAGTATAACCTGGTGGGAGCAGGAGGCATGCGGTTTCTAGTTCAGATGAACTGGGATCGAACGAAGCAAAAGTGTGTGATTCGAAAGGGCGGGGCAGGGGGAGGAGGAGGTATGTGCAGTGCACTACCCGGTGGGTTGAAAGAGCAGCTCTGCAGAACAATCCGGACCTGCTGTTAGCGAGGATAGCAGCAGCAGCTACCTACCGGTACGTGCTACGTACCGTAACATGCTTCGTGTTACCCTCTCTGTAACAAGCTGCTTGTTCCTAGTACGTAGAGTACTGTACTTGTGTTGGAACATCATGCTTGGTGTGCCTGTTACAGCATTTGCTTGAGGCGGCGGCAGTAGCTCCCTGCCCATTAGCCCACCTCTCCACTCCTTTGCAGCAGCTGCAGCAGTAGACTCTCTCTGGTCTGGTCGTTGCATCAGGCAGAAAATCAGGTTCAGCCTCCTGTCCAGGGGTCACCGGTACCTAGTACCTAAGACCTAGTGCCTACTGGTTACCTGCCATAGCCAATGTTGTAGCCTCCTGCCAGTGATAGAGGAGTCTCTCTGGCGACTCTAGTTTGACTTCATTTGACGCTTTGAACAATTTGGCGACTAGCGCAGCACATGGCATGATGGCACCATACCATACCATACCATACTGGTGCTATGCCCAAAGTATCAAGATGAGTAGTTGAGTAGAATAGAAGGATACAGGGATATATAGACTAGGGGTTGTACCCTCTAAGGCACAATCCAGTATAGTCTATAGTAACTACATAAGTTATACTTGACACACCCCCTAGACTATATAGGGGCAGTGCCTAACAGGAGAAGAAGCAGCTCAGGGCGGCACTACTAGTCCAGCCTTTGAGGCAAGGGTCTAAAGACCAGTCAAAGAAATACAAGCAGGGTAAGAGCAAGACCAGGGCGGCACTACTCGTCCAGCCACTGGGAGAGGCCACAAGGCCAGTCAGGGTAATATATATAGAAAAGGTTTGTAAACAATCAAGGCCCTAGCAAGTGAGAAGCTACAGGAACAAGACCAAGCTGGACACAGTGCCGCTGATGATCTTTAGGCGCAAGCGCCTTCGTAAAGATATCAGCTGTGTTGGCACCGGAGGCCAAGTGTACTACGCGGGCCTGGCGACGCTGCTGCAGCTCACGCAGGAGGAAGTACCGCAGCTGGATGTGCTTCGCTCTGCCCTCGAGTCGCGGCTCCTGACACAGGAGGATCATGGCCCTGTTGTCAGCGTACAGGACCGGCGCAAAGCTAGGCCGCTCACCTAAGTCAGTGAGCAAGAAGGTCAGCCAGCGGAGCTCCTGTGCCGCCATGGCACCGGAGTAGATCTCAGCCTCACAGCTCGACTGGACAACATACGAGGAGCGGGTAGCACTCTATGAGACAGCACCTGAACCAAGGCTAAAGCAATAGCCCTGTGAGGGCCTAAGAGTCTCAGCGTCATCTGCCCACGAAGCATCTGTGTGCCCAGTAAGGACCACTGGCCTACGCCCTCCAAGCACTAACCCCATGCCCGATGTACTTGCAAGATACACAAAACCCTCTTAGCGGCAGACCAGTGCTGAGGTCGGTGTTTACCTGTGGCCACAAAGCGAGCCTAGATGTTGAGAGGGTATGCGAGATTTGGGCAAGTGCAAGTCATCAGGTACATGAGGCAACCCACCAGCTCGGCGTAAGGGCCACTGGGCTCTACCAACTCCTCAGGAACTGGAGCAGAGAGCCTGTGGTCTACAGACAGAGGGGTGGGCTGTCCAGAGGAGAACCGAAGACCGAACCTCTGAAGGACCTGGCGCACCAAGTGTGACTGAGTGAGGATGATGGTGCGCGCTGCTCTTTCCTTGGAGATCTGCAAGCCAAGGTAATGGCGCAGTTCTCCAAGGTTAGTGCAAGTGTGTCTCTTCAGCAGCTCTGCCTTCACGGAGGCCAGTGCGTCTTTGTCTGCCGTGGCGAAGACCAGGTCGTCTATGTAAACAAGGATGTAGAACGGAGTCTGGCCTGCACGAACAAAGAGCAAGGGGTCTGCAGAGGACGGAAAGAACTGCAGGTCAGCATGGGTAGCACGCAGCATGTCGTGCCACTTACGAGGAGCCTGTCGCAGGCCGTAGACGGAGTGCCGCAGGAGCCACTGGGTCCCAGGAGGGAAGGCACCAGTGAAACCCTGAGGTCGGCGCAGGTAGACCTGCTCGTATAGACTACCCTGAAGAAACGCAGTAGAGAAGTCGAGGGAGTGAAGCTCGTAGTCACGCTGAGCTGCTACGTGTAGCAGCACCCGAAGAGTAGTCATCTTGGGGTTCGGAGCAAAGGTCTGGAAGAAGTCCACCTCCTCACGCTGACTGAAACCTCTAGCCACGTAGCGCGCCTTGAACACAGGCGGCTCTCCAGGAGGGCGCTTCACCTTGAAGAGCTAGCGGCCATCAACTACGTTCACCCCAGGTAGCGGAACTGCGTCGACGTAGGTGCCGGTGGATCTCCAAGATGCCATCTCCTGCTCCATGGCAGCTATCCACTGAGAGGCCCAGGGTCCCGAAACTGCCTCAGCGTAAGTGCGAGGGGTCGGGATGTCGAAAGCATCGGGGTCACCCTCAGGGACTAGAAGCATGGAACGGAGATAGGGAGCATTTGCCACAAAGATGCGATGGCCAGTGCAGCATAGATTCTGTCTAGCACCCTAAATGGCATGCCGGATAATGCAGTAACGGTATGATGGACAACATAACACAAGACACGGCACTCTGGATTCGCTTCGCGGAGCACACAATCGCCGATCAACCAACTCTTAGAGTAGCGAGATGAATAGAAACAACAGTACCGAGTACTTTTACCTAGTGGGTTGTACTCTCTAAAGGCATACACCTAACCAGCCTATACTAACATATTGCATATATGTTTGACACACCCCCTAGGCTAAACAAGGGGTAGTGCCAGGCAGGCCCATAGTTATCAACGTTTTTACGCTGATTCTGCTCTTTTTTTTTTCCAGGGTGTTCTCTTGTACCGACCCTGATGAATCAGCCTTGAAAAGGAAAGAACCAGGGCAAACAAGTAAGAAAACTACTACCAAAAACTGATTTTCATGGTGTTTTTTGAGATCAATACTGATCAATCAGCGTGGCCTAAAACGAATCTGAGGGGCTGGTGCCAGGCAAGAGATACGCAACTCAGGGTGGCACTACTAGTCCAACCTTTGAAGCAAGGGTCTGAAGACCAGTCAGGAGAGTACAAACAAGACAAGAGCAAACCAGGGCGGCACTACTAGTCCTGCCATTGGAGTAGAGGCCACAAGGCTAGTCAGGAGAATACAGCGACGGAACTTTCTGTCCACATGTTGGTCATGAAGTGGACAAAATCAGAGCCCATGAGAAACTGAGCATGTTTTTTGTTTTCTAGTTTTAAGGTTCTAATTGCTACTGTTATAGGCTTGTGTGACAAATAACATGTTGTCCAAAAAATACACCATAATAGAACTTAGAACAACCAAGATCAGAAGAGGTACACTCGGACAAAATGTTCCCAGGATGAGCCACAGTTGAAAATATCAATATCAATACCGTGTCCATCTCCCCTTGGCCCTATTTCTTGCTGTGATCCTCCTAAGCATACAGTCTAACAGAGCTTCACACATGCCAGCCGCAATGCTATCCCAGGTCTCGTGCACCTACTCCCAAGTTTGCAGCATGCCTGTGAGGGGGTGCTCATGCTTGGCGAGCTGCTCGATGGGATTGGGGTCAGGGGGGGAAGAGGGCCATTGCAGGACGACGAAACCTTGCTCTGCTAGCCAATCTTGAACAATCCTGCACTTGTGTTTGGGGTCGTACGATGTATTGTAAAGTCATGCCAGAGATGGTTAAATAATAGAAATCAAGAGCTTGAGCCACCTCGTCCTGCAATATGATGCGATAGAGTTGGCCACCCGTGTGGCCATCAATCTTGCACATGTAACCAGGCACATCATATGTCATACATACTCAAACCATGACTTACCCACCCTCATGATTCACATTCAACTTCACCTGATGCCCTTGGAGAGCAGTGCCTTCGCGAATCCATGCGTGGGTGCGGCTTTCCGAGCAATATCGAGCGATCCGTATCTCGTCCGACCTGATCACCCGCTTTAAGTCGACCAGAGTCCAGTCCAAATGGGCTCTAGCAAAATACCGACGGTCGCGGCCGTTGCGTGCTGATAGTTGAGACTTGCGCAGTGTCTGCACGGCGACTAACTCAGGCAGCTTGAGAGCATTTCGTGCAGTACGAGGGTGGACCTTAACATCGTTATACGATTCCAGTGGATACACAGCCTTGATGCCCGTCAATGCGACACCTAACATGATGATGTGCACGAAGGTGCGCACGTGTTATGCTGAGAGCAATCGATGTCGACCTGAAGAGGGGACTGTTGGCCTAGCTCCTAGATGACTATTGCTGTGACTAGCCTTCATAGCATTTTTTTGGATGATTCTTCTCCCTATTCCTAGCGTACGTGCGATCTGTCGGAAACTCAGAACCTGGCGACAGAGTCTCATGATCCTCTATCTGTGACACGAAGCAAGTGGCCGCGTGCCTACTGGAGGCTCACAGGGTAAGGGGCAAGCATTAGCGAAAGTCTAAGCGACTTCGCTAGCTCGTGCAAAAAATGCTCGGCGGAAACAGATCTAGTCTCTGCTCGGGTAGTATTTGTCCACATCGACCATCGAGCCTTAAAGCTTGTACTCGCTATTAGGAAATCGATATCTCCTAGCGTTCGACATATTTGGAGGTGCATCAACTGTTTCTGCATAATGTCCATAGGTTCCAGATTGATATCTATCCATTTATACTTGCAAAAACATCGCGAACTTGCTCAACAGTGCCATTTTGCGGACAAATTGTTCCGTCGCTGTATAATAATACAGAGAGGCGGTGTGAAGCTACAGGAACTAGACCTAGATGTACACAATGCCACTGATAATCTTTAGGCGCAAGTGCCTTAGTAAAGATATCAGCTGTGTTCGCACCGGAGGCCAAGTGAACTACGCGAGCCTGGCGGCGCTGATGTAGCTCGTGCAGAAGGAAGTACCGCAGCTAGATGTGCTTTGCTCTGCCCTCAAGTCGAGGCTCTTGATACAGGAGGATCTTGGCCCTGTTGTCAGCGTACAGAACCAGGGCAGAGCTAGGCCACTCACCTAAGTCAGTGAGCAAGAAGGTTAGCCAGCAGAGCTCCTGTACCGCCATGGCACCAACGTAGATCTTAGCCTCAGAGCTAGACTGTGCATCAAACGACGAGCGGGTGGACCTCCACGAGATGGCCTCTTCACCAAGGCTAAAGTAGTAGCCATGGGAGGACCTGAGCGTCCCAACGTCGTTTGCCCACGAAGCGTCTGTGTGCCCTGGTAGGACCACTGGTCAGCGTCCTCTTAGCACTAACCCGATGCCCGATATACTTGCTAGATAACGCAAAACCCTCTTAGCGGCCGACCAGTGCTGTGGTCAGTGTCTGCCTGTGGCCACAAAGCGAGCCAGCATGCTAAGAGGGTATGCGAGATCTGGACGAGTGCAAGTCATCAGGTACATGAGGCAACCCACCAGCTCTGCGTAAGGACCACTAGGCTCTGCAGACTCCTCGGGGACGGGAGCCGAAAGCCCGTTATCTATTGGCAGAGGCGTAGGATGTGAAGAAGAAAACTGAAGGCCGAACCTCTGAAGGACTTGGCGCACCAAGTGTGA